ACCCCCCCTCCCATATAAATGTAATGGCCTGATGAGAATTTATTGAAATATAAATGGTAAAAACGTTGAAGCATTTGCGAAATGACTGCATACATCATGTCTATTGCATTCGCACCACGAGTTTTCACCGTAATAAAATTTAATGCTAACAAACGTTATATTGAAATGAAGGGAGTAGTATGTTTGTGGTTATTTCAGTTATCCGCTAGACTATAAGAGGGGTCTGTCTTCTGTGTATTAGTCAAAGTTCCTCATTGAGCCTAAAACATGGTCTATACCCACACAAAATGTACTGAACCCTATAGGGCACCTTCTCAGAAGCGTGGAAGAATTTCTGCCTTTTTAATTGAAAAGTCCATAGCCTGTTGTTCTGAAACTGCCAGCACAAGTGCCATGGCAAATACCGAAGAATATAATTTCTCTGGGTAACAAAATTTGAGGAGGTAAACTATGGTGAAATGAGTAAACGAAGCCATGTTATTGCGTATGCTTTCTACAAAATTTGTTTCGCTTTATAAAGCCTTTGAAACTAAATTGGAAATAAACTCTTTACTCAAGTTATATTTCCTAACGAGCGTGGTTTTGGTCACAGATCGTTAAGACGTGCATGCAAATGCCGGTATCCTAGTGTCACTCAAAAAGAAACCTTCGAATTTTGCTACATAATTATCAATACTACAATAAGTGGCGTAATTCGTTCTAACTTAGACCAAACTTGGGGGTTTCTGTTAACGTTCCAACAGATGCGTCACCCACGAAAAAAATATTATGCGGATGTTTTTCTGGTTACCTGCGGAACAATCGTCCCCTGTTCGTTCAGTTAATATTCATATCACAACTATTGCAGGCACTCATTCTTACTCAAAAAGGATTTCCAGTTTAGAGACGTATGTGATCTTATCAGGCGTAGGCTTCCCAAGTATGCGCCAAACCTTTGTGCACAGGGTTGGACCGAACGTTGCTATTCTTTTTGATTTTCTGTCGAACATTTGCCCTTAACCATTTTGTCACTAGCATAACCTTTTAAAACAGAATCTCAAGCACGTGTATAAATCTCCTTCCAGATAGTGTTGCCGAACAATCAACTGAGCCTGTTATACGTAATAAGCATAAACCTCATATGAGAGTGGGTCAGTAGAATGCGTTTCATAAGCAGAAAGCTGCGAACGTGTTCCGATAGCAGTCGGTGGGTGTTCATTAACCAATATCAATATTCCAGACCTAAATCGGCATGACAGGAGCCCTTGGCGTCGTAAGTTAGAATGGTAAACTTCTAATAAAAATGGTCGAGAGTTCTAGCTTCATGTAGCGTACTGCCCGAGGCTTGGTATGGTTGGCTGACGACTCAAGCCTTTTCTTTGCTGACAATGTACACCTGTCTATAATACCAGCGGCTGCGTGACTGCTGGCGGGGCTGGAGAGTGACCGTCCCGTAACAGATCGGTGAGCGTTCATCAACCTATAGCCCAAATTTTTCATGGTTCCTACCACTGCCTCTTCACTTACTTCTAAGATGATAATAATATCCCATCGTACTGCTGCGTTGTACCGACACTGCTACGCTAGAGGTAATCTACGTGATCATGTTGAGCAGAAACAATCACGCTCATGACAATAGTACTTGCAAGTAGTGAGTAACAACTATTTTGTACTTTTAGTGTCCACAGTGGGCAACGGTGTCATCAGCTCCGACAGCGAATACTCCTCCTCCTCCTCCTCTTCAACTGACAGCCATGACTTCACTGCTGAATCAGAAGATTTAGAAACATTGTGCGAGAAAGCCCTCGATGCAGCTATTCAATATGTGCCCCAATACGGTTGGAGCCGTGCAGCGCTGGAGGCAGCGTGTTCAGCTAAAAACCTCCCTCCAGGATTACACTCCCTTGCTATGCCTAGGGGTGGCATCGACCTGGTAACACACTTCTTCGAGTCTCGGAATCATCTGCTGGCCGAGGAATTAGCACGCTGGCGTGCTGAGGACTCCGGCAGTGGAACGTCTTCCTCGCAAACTGTTCCTCCTAACAGGTGACCGTTGTAAAATTTATTTGCTGTCTCAGTATATTTGCTATAGAAAAGTTGTTCTGCCCCCGCCAACACCTGTCGGAGAGCAGGACATATTATTGACGAGCAAAATAACCCTATCAATCACAACATCACTGTGTTCGACTATTTGGGCGGGTAAGCAAAAATTGTGGTCCGGGAAAGTGTGCGTCAGTCCGTATTCTGCGAACAACTGTATAGGAATCTTTTTGAGAACGTTGCACACATGCAAAAGAGGCGGTGCTCATCATGTTTTGATAGCCGGGGAGTTAGTGTGAATTGGCTGCGATGACTGAAAACTACGCTTGTAAGTAAGGCTAGGCTGTTACTTTTACATCTAGAGTTTCTTTGCCTGCGAGACTTGCGGTTGTCACCAAAAGAAAAGAGCTTGTGGACAGTTGTGGCGTTTGCATACGTTGATTCCACGGCCCTTCTTCCGCTTCTGCTTATTTTTGAGTAATCAGCGAGAAATACAGAAGGATCCGGCACCTCTAGGGAAGAATACAATGTCTAACGGGCGAAAACTCACTAACAGGCATATTTTACTGCTCTTTTTAATTGTTCCACTGGTCCTCGCACCTTTTCACCTTTGTAGGAGTGTCGGTAGTACTTACTTGACCAGTCAACCGCGAGCCAGACTTCCACTTGCAAACCTATTTATTTCATAAACAACTTCAGTTATTCGCTGAAGGCTTGTTCGCCACCCTCTTGCTATGCATTAAGTACCCGTGAAGTCTACCACCAGCAACACTTACCAGTTTATGGTCCAGGTAACCTGGACGTCCATATAAAGGTTAGGAGAATAAACGGTTTCTAAGATACTGAAATAGGACCCTCTCCGTATTGTAGCTGGCCTTGCGCTAAATTCCAAAGAGATTTGGGTTAGAGCTAATGCTAGGTGCCCTTCCTAGGGTTTACCACAAGACCATATGTATTACTGACGGGGCGGGGAGCGCTATTCCTATCCCTACGTCTAATCTAAATAGCTTATAAAACGAATGAGAAGTGCCAAGTCGCAGTTGATTCTGTTCATGATTGACCGTATCGTGAAATAGCCGGACCCTGTACCGTCGAATTCTTATCAAAGCTGTATTAAAACAGCCGGTATCCAGTTTCTTTTTCCATTGCGGTTTAATAAATTGAATGAAAGGGTTGCCGTGCCTGGTATTATGCGGTGCTTTTTTGTGGTGGTTCTCTAGAGTGCTCTCGTTTGTATTTTTGCTTGACAGTTTCGGCTTCAAGGCACCCCCTCCGTTTGCTACCAAGGCGGAGACGGACGCCTTCCTGCGTCGTGCTATCCAGTACCGTCTTCGGTTAATCGAGGAAGTACTGCCCTACTGGCCGCAAGCCATGGGTCTCCTCTCTCTCCCACCGAATGTGCCTGCAGCTATCGCCCTCGAGGCCCAACTGGTAGATGAGATCTGGGCACAGGCCGGCGATCGTTCTGTTGACGTAGGTCTTTACATCTCTGCATTTTAATTTTTCCAGGATTATTTTATGTCCTTTTTTATTTCACTTTCGAACCTATACTTCACGAATCAAAGAGAACACTCTCTGAGAGCCCATCCCTTAACGTCACAGCTTCCTGTATACCACCTGGACGGCTCTCGCGGCTCATGTTTGGCCACCATTCTGTTTCCCGAAAGGCACTTATAACGCGCTTCCGGGCTTGTAGTTTCGGCGAATAAGTTGCTAATTATTGTGGCGAAGGTTGTCCTGAAGAAGTTGTCAGCAGTACCAGAAGTGAAAAGAAGACGACTCGATCGCTGGGACAAACGTTTATTCGCCTGACGTTTCGACATCCGTCGCGGATTCATCATCACAGACATGAGCAGGAAACAGTAGCAGAAACCAGAAGTCACCAATTTGTAGAGCGATAAACACAACCGCTGCTTAGACACTACAGTATAAGTAGCAGATTTCGGGCTGGGTGTGCGTCGTAGCTTTGGCCGTGTGAACAAAAGCTAGTGCTCAAGGCATCAACGCCATCATATCTTCCTGTAAGCCATCTAGTAATTAAATATGTATGTTTTCGATCCTTTGAACATTCCATGTTCCACAAGGACCAAATTTTCTTTCAGGAATTTCGGCCATCATGGCAATCAGCGCTCGCGTCTACTTATCTCAAACTGATATATGCGCCATCCTGTTTGTCTCCAAAATAAGTTCTCATATTAAATCGGCCCTTTAAAGGATTGCTTGTCTTACAACAATTAGAAAAATTGCTATTTTATGCTTCGGAACTGCATGCAAGCCCTCAGTTCATTGTCAGGTCGAATCTACCGGCTGTCATTATTGTTTCCGACTGAATTCGATTTCTGCAGCCACAAACCAACCCTTGTTTCGCTGCAGGCAACGAACTTACTACAGGGCACTCATAGTGAAAATAGAAAACACAAGCTATTGACCAATCAGATTAAGACACACAACAGGACGATCATGTTACGTAACCTGATCGTAGAACGACCCGCGATGTACTGGTAATGCGAATTGTAGTCGGAGTGATGGAGAGGCCCGCCCCCGGGGAGTTTGGTGTGGGTCAAACCCATTAACTGAAAATCATCATGCTCAAACGAGTCACGTGGGCTAAGGGTCAAATGCACGCTAGTGGGATGTATTAAATTTCATACCGAGATTGTCCTTGCAAGTGGAGAGGCCATACCGCAGAAATTATGAACTGGTTGATTTAAAACTTCAAGGCGAAAAAGGGATGGGTTGGTTTCTTGAGTCCGGAGAAAACCTCGAATTCGGGTTCGCGGACGCATATAAAGTGGGCCTGAAAGGCGGTAGATGACAGGCCTGTGAGGTTTCGGCTTCTGATATAAGTTTACTAAACCGTACGCCTGCTCTTATCTAGCGCCACGAACTCCGTTCCCAGCTGTGAATTCACACGATCGACGCAGATTTGTAACGTACAAAACCAATATCTGTTTTACTATCACTTTGTGCTGTCGGTGGTGATCTGCTCCTGAAAAAGTTTGGAATTTCCTAACGATTATAATAACCGTTCCATTGGCCCAGTGGTCTTTTTATTTTCAGCAGACATCTGCGGTCTGTTCTACAGGAGTCCAGTTCTTGAACTGGTATACTGCCTGAAACTACCAGGCCCTGATGGTGGGGCAAATTTCCCCGTCCACAGTTACGTCACAGCCGCATACAATTTGAAAAGAAAGATTTTTTATAGCATGTCCTGACCATCATCAAACTGGCGAGAATATAGTCACGAAAATGGCAAAAAGGATTGATATTTAAGTAAACGATTCCTTCATCATTTTAAGTTTATGTCTGATTTACTCTGATTGCTTTCACTGGGACTCTAACTTAACTTTCCAATGAAAAAAAGTGCGCGAAGTGGTATCTGCCGTGTTTGCCAATGGACTGGGTATAACCAGGGAGCCAGTACCAACGGTCCCTTCCATTCGTGACCAAAACGTAGAATAAAGTTCAGTCTCTACAACGTTATTTGGTTAGAAACAGTTTGTTAACAACAACTCCCCCTGTGGAAATTACCCCAGTAAACCGTGGCGCAACTGACTGTACTGTTTCCAAGTGTGCGGAAAGGACACCGAGAACTCGAAAGAGCAAACTCGTTACTGATGCTCATGGTTTATTTTTCTTCTTGCATCAATAGGCTGCTTATATATTCTCCTTTTTATGCGGTTACTTTGACTGTAGCGGCTGCAGTGCTAACAGTTTTTATGGCCCGCTATGCCCTCCGATTGTGGGTAAGCGAATTTTTTGGGCCCGATGCTGATCAATCCAGCCCGTACAGGTCGGCCTATACTGTTTATATCCTGAACTAGCAGAATAAACATTTCTCCTATCTAGTATAGTTAATAGTTTTCTATAAATAAATACAGCTTGGCGTTTTATTACTATATGAACAAAAAGGGGGGAAGGGCAGGAGCGAGTGAGGTAGATGCTGCACAGGTCCGCCCCACTATAAACTAATTCACGCGCAAGTCACTGATACTACACTCAATCTGTGAAGGGTGCAGTGCGTGTCTTCTCTTACGACGATCGACCTGCCATATAACTTCAATAAATGCCCCTAAGCACAATGCCTCTCTGCTAATCAATCTTATATTGAAAGCGTGTTGAATATTACCTACTCGATGCAAGTATCCCCAACTTGGGTATAAATCACTGAGTGTTGTAAGCAAATTCTCCCCCTGGTCGGATCAGTAGTTCGCAGAGTCGTTGATGCAATAACCAGAGCAGTATATATATTTGATGGAGAACAAAATGTGTGAATCATACAAGGCAGCCTTTTATGTGAGGAGAGATCCATCCATCGTCTAGATCTTGTGTGTCCGGAACTCCGTATCCCCCGGCCCGTCCTCATCGCTGATGTCTTCTACATGCAGCAGGGCCACAAACAGTTCCAGCAGTCGCACCACCTTGGACAGGCGCAGGTTGGCAGCTTTCTCCGAGGAATTGATGGCAGCGCTGCTGACTGGTTGGATAAGCAGGGCTGGCAGATGTCTCTCTTCTGTTTTACGACTTTTGATAGCTGCGGCATCGGCTTTCACATCGGGATTAACCAGGAGAAGAAGGAGGAGGAAGGAGAGTGCGAGGACAATAACAGAAAGGGCCTTCATGTTGTCTACCCGATTCCTGCGGTTGGTTATGGCTGAAAGGGCTCAGAGGTTGGGCTTTATAGATTGGACCAGGGCCTGTAAATCAGCCACTAGTTTTAGCGGTTCGCACTTATGTCAGCACGGCAGACCACCCACTCAGCTCGCCATTTCGGCAAAATTTATCGATGTCACTCGTGGCCTTTGAGTTTGCGGCGTTTCACACGGCCGTTTCATCACCCACATGTGCCAAAGTGAACACTAAATCCAGTTGGTTAACCCTGCCTTCGTTGTGTGGTAAGAAAACAAGGTAGTCGGGTGGGGTGGGGAGTCTGTGCTTGTGGGTGATTATCTTGACGACTACCAAGTTGAACTCATGACCCATTTGGTAGATGTAGGCAGCCACTCTCGATAATTCATCGCACCGCCGCATAGTCAGTTTATCTTCATGCCAGGGCGGTTCGAGCATGAGTTCCGGCTGACCTGTATAGTTACAAGGACAGCTTAAGCATGGGATGTGATACTCTACAATATCCTAGATTGCTCCTTGGGATTTAGGCAGTCTTTAATTTTCATGCCCCTGCTGCGTGTGATAGCTTTGGAACAGTGTGCAATTCCAACTTTTAGTCCGGTAACAATATGTTCCATCGCTTTTGAGACGTCCCTAATGCATGGCAGAGCGCGCCGTATCTTGGCTGATGTTTCAGTTTGGGTCCTCTGGCGCAAATCGCATAAACAGCGGCTTATGCTCGGCTCAATTTATCATCTTCCGTGTCAATTTGATAAAGAAGTAGTTTCGTTTCCTATCGGCTTAACAACACAATTATGGATTTTATAAAGCTGAACTTTGTTTTCTATCAAAAATTGCCATGAGACTCAAACTGGATGTCCACTGACCTCTCCGATCTTGAACAGAAGATGACGAAAAAATTAGTTTGTTTTCGCACAGGTCAAACAAAGGTCTCCTTTCGCGTTTTGCCGAAAGGAGCTTATTATCCAGCTGTATTGGTCATCTCGAATAGTGGGCATAGGAAAGGTCGAAATCGCCCAATTGGAATTTCACGGACCAATACAGACATTTAAAACCTTCGGGTAAACACGGCGAATTATGTTGTTAGCTATTGCAGTGTTTCCCTCGCAAAATTCTTATTACCTACAACAACAAACATTACTACCTTCGGAGTTTGTGTTCCCAAATTCGTAAGGTCCAATCTAAAAAAAGCATAATCTAGATAAAAATTCAGAAAAACCAACACTTAACGGATTAACAAGGACAATGTAGCTAACATAACCACCTAATGGATGCAAAGTTTCGCGTTACAGGTGTTTGCCTGATAGGAACTCAATCAATCAATGTATTGGTTCAGCACCAGCGTACAGATCCGCAGTCAGCTCCAGACTTGCCTCACTGATAATTGATTGGCTTGCAACATCTGTAATTATCGCCTTTTTGCTGCCCTTGCCATCTCTGATGATGAACTCCTTGACGAATTTGAAAGTTCTGAATAGTAAATAAATTCGTGTAAATTGAAAATCAGACATTCCTAGAAATGTAATTTGAAGAGAAGACGTTCCTTGGAACAACAGGGTAAATTTATTCAGTAAATTTTCGAGACTGGTTCCCTAGCTCGTCTTCAGACTTGAGAGCATATGCGACGAACAGTTAAAATTTCAAACGCGCAGAAAAATCAATAGTCATATGGAGTGAGCGCTGATTGCTAGCTGTCTGTATGTCAGCCGGTATTGTTTAGCCCTCGTCTCTTCCATCATTCTTTGAGATTTTTGTAAATTTCATCTAACTCTATGCGTCGGTTGATGTATGAATAATCGGAGCGCATAGTCTCAATGCATTTTTGGCCTCTTCTGGAGGGGCAAAGTCCGATGACGCGTGTTTTGTCTCATGCGAAGCTGTGTCCTGTGTCGAGGCTATGCATAGCTATTTCGGATAGATGGTCACGTCTTTTCACTGCCAGTTGGTGCTCATGATTGCCTGTAGGGACGGACCTTTCTGTCTGGCCACAGTAAACAGTATCACAAGCTTCGCATGGAATCTTGTAGTTGACTTCTTATCGAAATAGCTAACCCTATCCTTAGGATGTACAAGCTGGGTGCGTGAAGTAGCGATCGGTTTGTGCACGCTTGAAGTTTTAATTGTTCGTTGCACATCCTCTGTCTTGTGAAAAATTTCACGCGTCTGCCTTATGTGCATTCAGAGATCTGCCATCACCTTTACGAAAAAAATGTATGTTCGATAGCTGGGAGATGAATGTGCGTAGTATGCAAAAGCCAAGAAAGAGGGCACAGAAAGTAAAGTTACGCACACATTGCTTACATATCTCCCCAAAACTCGTTTTTTTCAACGACGCAAAGGTCAGACAGTCTGTTAACACAGGAGGAGGGCGAGTAGTAAAGAGCGAACGCCTTCGAGTTACTTTTTCTAGACTTATAACGGTGGCTTCTCAGTTTATATCACCTGCTGTTATTGGCGTTTCCTTTTCCCCGACAGATGAACTGGTACGCTAAACGCCTCGGACTGGCCTATGTGTACAAGCTGACTGAGCTGTTCTTCATTCAGGACAAGTCGCCGGACCATGCAGATTCCTGGGCCTTCCTTGATCGACGTATCACCGACCTGCGTTGCATGAAGGAGGCAAAGGTACTGCCCCCTCCTAATGTTGAATCCTTTTTGATTTTATTCGTGTTTGCATCGGCCGAACGCTATCGATTTATCGGACAACTTGAATTTTTATTTATTTATTGCGAGGTTAAACGGAAGCTCAACAGAGATATATAGTAGAGGATCGAGTTGACAGTGAGGAAACTCTTGATCATTCTTACTAGTGTCTTCAGGAGAAAAACGGCAACTCGTTGAATGATTGAAGCTCGGGTCGGGGAACAGTTAGCACAGGTGCACGATGTAGTCAGTCTTCCTTCAGTGTTATGGATCATTTATTCTGTACCGGATACAGGTGCGCCGGCAAAAGGTCCCTCGCTGTTGGCGGAACAATTAACCGATTCGTGAAAGGTATCCTGTGTGTAGAAAACTTGTGGTAGTTCTCCTATACAAAAGATTTCTTTGCTGGATTTTATTACTTCTGGTAACTTATTGCAGATTACTATGGCGTTTACTGAAAATAATTTGTCGATATCGAACTGTGCTTGCCAGACGAAGAAGTAAAAGAAAATCACGGTAACTGGTGCTCCGAGAATGGTCAAGCTGACTCAGAGTGCTAAGAGGATAAAAGTACTACTGTTTAAAAGTTTAAACAGTAAAATTCGTCCCTTCGGTGGCCTGCCAAGCAACAACGGATCGAAGTTAGTAAGTTCACATCGTTGTTGGTAGGACAGCTAACGGCGTTCTGCCGAGAAAACTCTTTCAGTGAAGAAATGTGGGACCGATTCTGTTTTCTTCCGTTAGCTAGCGCGCAAAAGGCTAAATAGAAGCGAATAGTATTTTAGACTAGGCTTAACTTAGTTGGATGTCAACGTGACGAGTTTCATACTAGCCATCTGTCAGGGCTAAGACGGGGACATCACAGCTAGTGTAGCAGTTTCGAAAGGCAGTCTGACGACAAGAGACATCATTCGTTAATGCAGATGGTGTTTTCATTACTTTAAATGCCCTCTATGAGTTTTGCACTAGTTGAATTCAAAGTGCTGATTGTTCCTCATACTGCTTGCGATAACCTCTATCTTCCGCTTCAGTTAAAGGGCGTTGCGAACATGCTTCGGGAGGGGGTTCGTGCCGCCGGTTATGTGGTAAGTTCAAATGCAGTCTTCTGAGATTTTATCATATCCCACTGGCGAGCAAATTACCTCGGAAAAAATGGGTTTTCAAAAGCACTATATGGATACATGGGCTTTGTCGATCTGGTAGAGGAACAATTAAGTTTCGCTTCCCTTTGGAGCTCACAATTAAGGCCCGCGTAGGCAGTCACATAGCGACTATGAGGATATGATGAAATGGATCCGACAAGGCAAAGGGAAACCGGAATGACCACTTATAGCTTGTTAGCCGTCATCAACCAGTCATACCAATCTCAAGGGTTGGAACCCTCGAAATTCGAGCCCGGGCCTTTGGTCATTGAGTTTAATACTCTACTTCGGCAGCGCTGTGACTGCCTACGCGGGCCCATATTGTGATCTCCTGGGCAAATAGGAACTTAATTATTCCTCTACTAGATCGGCGAAGCCCATATATTCTTCATATTCCCGATCTAAACCGACAAAGCAACGAGCCTGTGATGCCTAGGTAGAGTATTAAACTCAATGACCAAAGGCCCCGGGTTCGAATCTCGAGTGTTCGAATCCTTCAGACTGGGTATAACTGGCTGATGACGGCTAACAAGCCGGAAATGGCCATTCCGGTATCCCTTGTCCTTTTCGAAACCATTTCATATGGATATATTTGCGGTTTAGTTCAGTTGTATTAGAGAACACGTAGACGGACGCCTTTAAGCTCCTTATTGGTAATACCGTCACTAGGAAATGTATATGTAGAGAAAAAAATCAAAAGGGGGTCTTTTAAACAATTGCGGATGAACAACAAGCCGCTAGTTAGCC